AACTTTATTTTTGTCAGTCTCTGCTTTGGGCTCCAAGTAGAATCCAAACGTCACATTCATGACATAAAAACCCCGGTTTATTTCCTGACTTTCCTTGGTACATTTTGTGACTTTAATCTCCGATCATTTTTACTTTTTTCTATTAAAAAGTTAATTTCGTTCTTGTATATTTAAGTTGATTGAAGATGTGGTTATTGTACGTTCTTCATCATAGTAACACCCTCCCTAAGCACTGTGATTTGTGTACCTACAATTACCCAAATACGCTATTGTAGAGTCACATGCATGAAGTTACTGTACAATGATAATAAAAGCTCCATACACTTGAAACTCTTCGTAGGAGACCCCCCCGGAGCTGCTGCCGCGGCGTCGCGAGCTGTGGCCGCTGTCCTCGTCATCGTCTTCCTCCGAGTCGTCCTGAGTGCGAGGGAAGCTCCGCCCACTGGTGGCTCTCGTCAGCGAATTGCGTTCCAGATCCAAGTCCTCCTGGGCGAGCGAGCAGAGACACACTGAACATCTGCAGGCCGAGAGTAAACTAACACGGGCATGCAGAGGGTGTTTTGTTTTTGTGTTTCTGTTGGCACGGGCACTCACTCTCTCTTTCTCCAGGTCGTCTCTCATCTGCTGGTGTTCGTTCTCCGTCAGCTCCTGGTCTCCATCGTGATCGTACTTGGCAAAGATGGCCTGAATCTCTGCGTCTGTGTGGCCCTTCCTGAGACAAGAAAGAAATAGGAAGACACTCAGAAGATGTGGCATATCAATGTAAGGGTACAAAAGGATCAATCAAACATTGAATTGACTTCTCAAGAGGTTTTAGCCTTTGTGTATACAGTCTATGGTTTTAGCCTTTATGTATACAGTCTATGGTTTTAGCCTTTATGTATACAGTCTATGGTTTTAGCCTTTATGTATACAGTCTATGGTTTTAGCGGTGTTGCTCACCCTTTCAGATCCTGGCGCAGTTCATCGAAGTTGAGTTTTCCCCCGGCCTGACGCAAACTGTCAGAGATGTCGTCTACTGCCGTCTTCTTCAGTCTCAACTTCATCAAAGCTTTGTTACAACCCTGAGGGAGAAGAATACATACATTAGGACTGACCTGAACAAATCCTCTAGAGTTTAAGGTAAGGAAACTACACTTCTGCTAAAGTCAACTGCGGTCCCTGTTATCAAGATGAAAGCACTCTCATCAGTTATAAATGTAAAGAAAAACTTTTAGGAATAAAAGGAGTAAACATTTTTACTGAATACTGAAGAACAAAATAAAACGATATCCTTTAAGAAAACTAAGATTAAACTGAATTGGTAACTGATTGGTTACAAACTAAATCAAAAAACTGCTGTATCTCTATTTCAGTTTTAGTTTATGAGCTTTTATAAATTACTTCCGGAAAAAAAACAATTACAATTTAGACATTGACTGACACAGAAATGTCTATGAAATGTACCAGGCTGACTGGACCCTACACTCTTCCATAAGTAGGTCAAAAAGGACCCGTATTGGTCGTTACTTTCTTTTTTGGTTCACACTAGAAATATGTTATATAAAAATTTTCAGTATTTATAATTTTAGACATTTTTTTTACATTTAGAAAAAAAAACGTTTTGAACATATTGATGCAAAGATCTCTGCTATTCTGAGACCCTCACAGTGTTCCAGTCTCTTTTCAAAACTCATCTCTTCTCCTCTTGTCTACTCATAGCCCACCCCCCATCAATCCATGCCGGTTGATCAAGTTTGATAGTCCAATACCCCCCACCAGCGATTTTGAGTCCTTGAAAAGCCCTATAAAAATATAATGTATTATTATTATTATTATTATTAATATTATTATTATTATTATTATACTGACAGGTATCAGATCTGGCTGTGTACCATAATCTTCCTGAGAGGTGTCACTTGTGATGTAGTCTGTGTGGTCTACAGTGAATGTATTCCTGACAGCAACAGGTGATAAGAATCAAAGGTTCCCAGAGGATGCCATAGAAAATGCATGCGGGTCATTTTTGACCCACTTATGGAAGCTTGGGGTAGTAATACAAAAACTGCAATTTCTTAAAATTTAAATTTAAATTTTTAATGGCATGATATCCAAAACATGTTTTTTGAGGAATAGCTGGAATA